TTTAAGACTAAAACTTGAAGGAAAAACAAACATCTGGGTTATTACAAGTTTTTTGCTTTTAATAAAATAAGTTACCATACACCTACGTGAAGTAGCGAACGAATGTTGAGGAGTTTAATTTGCCTCGTTCGTTGGAGATTTTAGTAGAGTTATTATGCCCTCCCCTTGCTCTTCCACGAAGATGAATTGTTCGGGGAATGATTACTTCAGGATCACTCAGTTCACTTTCTGGCTTTTTCTTCCTTTTTTTGCGAGCCTTTGGTGGGGCACGTGGACGTGCTTTCGAGCTCATAGGACATGGGCTTTCGTTGAAGTTTCCTTGTGAAGGTACCACTTCTGCCCAAAATTTCAGTACTCAAAAGCGGTTTATGTATCTTTAAGAGATGACAATAATTAACACGAGTGCACTGAGATTGAATATCAAATGCATTTATTCATGGAGCATTCTCAAAATAATTCAAAGAAGAAACTGAGGCCATCAAACAACTAAACTTTGCTCTCAAAGAAAAGAATCATTAACGTCTCAACGTAATTCATTTAAGGTTTCTATGTGAGACTGACGAGGACCTCACTAAACCAATGGCTGATTTCATTTTGTTCCTATACTAACTGGGTCAACTTTTATATCAGTGCCAGGTCCCTTCATAGTCTCAGCTTTGCATTAATAGGTAAGACCCATTAATGTTGATATAAAAATGCAATGGGTGACTAACTGACAACACATGACCTTATAATTTACGTAGAAGTGAAGTACCAATAAAATGAAATTCAGGACAAGACGCACACATGCAAATAACGACATTTCACATAATATTTGGATTCTATTTTTGAGTCGAGCAAATATCATCTCTACTTTCTGATATTTGTAAAATATGGAAGCACAATCTTCCATTTACCAAAGAAATCAGATGGATATTAATAATTTGACTTTTAGCCAAGATATGGATATTGATAATACCAACCATACAATTAAGGCATCAGATCTGATGGGTTCAAAAAGTTTTGGGGAATGTATTATAGAAATGTGAGGGTAAAAATGGAAGCATATCAAATTGAAAGGAAATACAGTTAATCAGTTTAATGTCCTAAAAAGAATTAACATCAAATCATGTCAAATTATTGAGGATACCAGCTATATGATTATTCATCTCTCTTTGCATGCAGGCAGCTTTTGCTTTTGACCTTGGACGATGAGGAAACCACGAAAACTAGGGACTCGGATTGAAGAGTTTACTTTCTTTAGCCACCAATACGTATATTTTCCTCTCACAGACATGTATCACTTTAACATATACACGATACGTCTCTATCTTGTACTCAACTGAAATCACAATAGAAACTCCATCATCCTCAGAACCATGTAGTCATGTACAACAGTCACATTTCAACCAGAAACATGCACAGGAAACCACGAAAACTAGGGATCGGATTGAAGAGTTTACTTTCTTTAGCCACCAATGCGTATATTTTCCTCTCACAGACATGTATCACTTTAACATATACACGATACGTCTCTATCTTGTACTCAACTGAAATCACAATAGAAACTCCATAATCCTCAGAACCATGTAGTCATGTACAACAGTCACATTTCAACCAGAAACATGCACAGGACAATTACTTTGTAATTTTTGAAAGTGGTTGCTTGTTGCAGTTACTTTCAAAAGAATGAAAAACCCCAACTCTCAGACATTTGATATCACTAATACCAGTATCAGCAAATCGTACGTTTGTTTTACTTTTCTCAACCCTCTACTAACTTATTTAATATCCTGATATATCACATAACTAGCAAGCTCCTAAATTGCTTAAAAGACTGAAAGGTCTTTATTCCAATGTCTGTAGGTTACCATGATCTTACATAGGTCATTTATGCACATGAGATGAATTTAGGGTTAATTACAAAATGTACTTTGAGGTTTGAATCAATTGCAGGAAAACTCATGTTTCTTTCAAAAATAGAAAAAGTACCCTAAAGTTCAATTTTCTATCACACTTAACCCTTCATCAATAAAAGTATCTCACAAACCCTCACGTTTGTTGAAATAGTACAGTTACCACCTTAACTTGAACACAAAATAACATCTCAGGGATATCTTTCTCTATTTATGAAGATAGCTGGTTTTTCGTGTATCTTGGTCAAACCTTGGGGATAGTTCTTGCAATTATCACAAAATTTTACTATTGAAACAAGTGTAGTGTGAAGATAGAAATGCCAGAAAACCATGTGAACAAACACATTAGCCAGCTTCAAAACTCAATCTGTCAAAACCAAATCTTGGAGGTGTAAAAACCCATACACACATCACTAGTCCAAAAGGAAGATATGTTGCACAACTTGGTTTTGATTATAGACATAGTCATGTATGTCACTTTGAAGCAGATATCTGTAATTGTAATGTGAAACAGTCAGTTTAAATAAGTGTTGGAAATGAAATACACACATGCCAAGTTACAACTAGAGCACACAAGAGGTTTGAGATTATTATACCAATAAAAAATAACTTGCGAGTGTAAAAGTCTTTAAAAGTAATTTAAAGTGTGTAAGGTAATCCCGTCTACGAAAAGGTCAGATAAACACTACTTACAGTAGTCAGTTCAGTCTCTCCTCTACAGAAAAATGGGCAAAGCAAAACACAATTTGATAAAATATTAATAGGCAATCTAATAGTAAAACCCGTGACTATTTATCACAAAAGTTGGTCAACCTATTGCATTCAGGTCATATCGGAAGATAAGAAATGAACCTTTCACCCATTCCACCCTGCACGTATCGGTAGCATAACTAATACAATGAGAATGCACAAAATGCCAAAAGGTTCAATTTGTGCCCAGAACATTAATCATATAGATTTCTTTCCAGGATATATAAAATTTCACTAGGGAAGAACAAGATTCAGAATAACAGCTCAAGAAGATGCCTTGATAAAGCTACAAGGTTAAAAAAACATTCAAATCAAGCAGGAAATTCCAATTATTTTCCTTCATTCATTTCATTTCTCCTAATCCAGTCAGGAATGAGCAGGACAAGCAAATAGCAACAATCTTGAAAGGAGTTTCTGTTCAAATGGTCTCATATGTTAAGTTAGTACAAAGTTCTAGACTGACCATCAGAATATATAAATGTCTACATGCATGGTGCCATAGGTTTTAGATACCCAACGTTGTTATGCAGGCTTGCCAGCAGTCTTTAAGTAATTTCCAGACCAAAGCAAAAACTGGAGCATATCATTCTCTACCAAGACATCAAATGNGTGTCCACGGATTATGCTTTCAACTGTATTATTTTCTCAACATTCGTCTTTGACTATGTATTATCTTGGTCCCCAGACTCCCCACTTCAAAACAAAAACAAGTCTAAAATAACCGAACATTTGTGTTAAATCTCATAAATAAAAGATGACTACTGTTACATATGCTTTATTAATCAGTGTGAAATAAAATATTGAACCAAGAAATAAAACTTCAGGGCAATCCATTGCCTTGACCGCGGCTCACCGACCCAGTAAAATCCTTCGACTGTTCATGAAAATATGGCATGCAGAATCACACAAAGCCGAATTTTAAAACGAATAAATAAAAGAATTTGATAAACCCACATGGCCCAAAGCTCAAAAATCCAAAATTTAGAAGAAAAAACCAGTTCAAGGCGAACAAAGGAGAAAACAAAAGAACTAAAAAAGAACGCACATAAAAGTATACAATGAGAAAAGTTGGAATTTTTAAGTTTGCCTGAAGAAGATTATGAGAAATAGGTTGGATGATACTGAGTACGTCGATCTCGAATAGTCCTTTTCCTCCGGTACTTGTCCGGGAAGGTCTCAGTCTGCATAGCAATAGAGTTGAAATCGTGGAACGGTAAGGGGCAATCGGTAATAGTTAAAATCGAAGTGATGTAAAAATATGAAAGAGAGGTGAGAGTGATATGTAGTTAAAAATATTGAATGAAAAATAGTGAATTAAAGTTGATATGATATATAAAAGTGAAAAAAATACTAAATTCAAGTTGATATGATATATGAGACAGATATTAATATTATTCAATTATATTGATAATATTGAATATAATAGAGTTGAATTAGACTTTGACATAAAATGAGTAAAAAAATTGATCTAATTAAAACTTATTTTGATGAGTTTTGACTTCTTATAAATCACCCCCAAAATGTTTTTACCGTGCGACTCCACCCATCGTTTGCAAAAAGTAAGGTTGAATTTGCATTGGTAACACATTGGTAAGTGAGTTCTTTAATGATGAAGTGTGTTACTAATTTACTAGTACAGAGCCCGTGCGATGCACAGGGTGCACAATTTTAAGGTTATTTATCTAGATTATAAATATATACATGAATACAGAAAAAATGTACGGGATATATATAGTACGTGACCTGTGCGAGGCACGAGATATATTTATTTGAGAAATATTATATTATAAGATGCAATATTCAATAAAAGTTTTATAATACGCAGGAAAATTGTACAATAAGATAGTATTCGACAAAGAAACAATCATATATTATTAAATACCTCATTGTACACAACATTATGAGTTTGATTTTCCATACAATAATAATAAGATTTTTTGTAAAAAGATAAGAAGGAATTTTCAATCTACACAAACTTTAAACATTAGATGTATTTACGTAAATCAATAACTATATAGACAACTAAACCCTTTCAATTTAGGCTTGACATCTGCTTTTTTTTATGGATAACGTAAAATAAAGATTGAATTTTGATTAAATCTTTATTTATAGGCTTGACATATAAAACCGATTTGATGGGGTTTTTTTAACTAAACCGATGTTATGGGATAAAACAAATCTATACTTACCTTTGACTTTTTCAGCAAAGGTAAAAAATTCGGTTCTGATTTTTATCCCATAACAAATCTTAATATCAAGCTTATAAATACCAAAACAAATATGTAATTAATATCTATCTATTTTCAGCAAGCATTAATTACTTTTGATTTCTGCCTACTATTTCTAGTAAATAGGATGACTTTTTATATAAGTATAGATTCTATATTATTATTTTTCAATGGAGGAAAATAAAAGGGAGAGATTTTAACGGAAGGGAGAGAAGGAAATAAGATGTAATGTCGAATAATTTTACCTTGTTTGAAAGGATTTTGTTAGAAAAGAATTGGGGTAAAATGGTAAATCTTGCTTGGTGTGAAAATGAAAAGGAAGAGAAAATAATGTTAGAACGACAAATATATCCTTAATGATGTTAGAAATAAAAACTAAAATATTATATATACTAAGGGAAAAATTGTAATTGCATTTATTAAAATTTTCTCCCTCTAAATTCCTTCATTTTTGGAAAGGAGCAAAAATGGACAGGGGAGGAGATTTTAAATTTAAATTTCTCTCCCCTTCTATCCAAAACTACTAGTCGTGACCCTTACGATGCACAGTATGGTATTTTTAATTGAAATTTTTTTAATAGTGAATATTAAAATTAATAGATTTGTTATATATACGTAACAAAAGTAAACAGTTTGGGCGTTTTTATTGAACAATGGGTTGAATGGGACCATATTGAATTAGATCGATAGCAACACTTACATTTTACCGCCTCGACAATGGAAACTTGATTGGTGCAGTAAGAGTTGTATTTTCGTTCTCGTTGTCACTCAAGATGTCTATCACGATGCTTTCTGATCCAAGAATATTAGAATTAGTCGATTTTTTTTCCTAGGAAAGTTACATTTACATGTTTATTCAAACAATTACACAAAAAAATATAAATAACTAATAAAATATCATAAAAATGATGCGAGAATATCATGATGTATATATAAAATAAATTATAAATGGAATATAAATGAAATACATTTATAATATCACTGAAGGGCATATGATTTAGAGTATTTTATGCACTGTCTAATCCAATTGCCACTTGCCATTTGCTAACGGTTGATCCAGTGAGAAAATGGGATTCATAGTACCTATATATGTAAGGTCAATATAACAATACTGAAAGATTATGTATAATAAATCTATAAAAATAAAAGGGTGAAAAATAGAAAATCAATAGACATTATTAATAAAAACAATAACCTAACAACAATTATCACATGGATATATAACCGATATAAAAACACATATATTAGTTTTTCTAATATTACGCACATAAAATTCATAGAATGGACCATAGCATATTTAAATTATATAGCATATTTATGTAAATAAAATATTGGGTTAATTAAATGAAAACATTAATTTTGTCAAAAAAAAAAAATGGCCTAATAAAAACAACCCATATCATATTTAAAAAAATGTCTAATCAGGCCCATGAATAACTATTTTTTTT